TTTCTTTCTTTCTTTCTTTCTTTCTTTCTTTCTTTCATCATCTATCTATCTCTATCATATATATAATCTCTATATCTTTGCTCTAATTTCACTCATCCATTTCTCCATTCTCTCTCTATATATCTATCTCTATACCATATCATCTCTATATCTGTCTGTCTATCTATCTATCTATCTATCTATCTATCTATCTATCTATCTATCTATCACCTCATTTTAACCCCACTCTTCCCCTTCACAGAGGCATTTTGGGCAGTGAACAATGAAATATTAAAATATAAAACCAATTTATAAAAGTTAAATATTCTTGTCGTTCGATGGTTTAAAGGTATCGTCCCAGGATGTAAACTGTTCCAAGTTAAGCTGCCTTTTTGCAATTGACCAATGGGGATTTTGTCAATGCCGATGGGGGTTTATTCTGTTATTTATCTGCCCGTCCACAGATCGATCGATCGGTCTTGTCCCTTTCCCTGCATCCTCAAAGAGTCTGGAGCAAAGAGTCTTTCCAGTAGGGGGCCTCCTTCTGACAACCTTGATTGCAAATCTGACCAGTCAACGACTGACAGCAAAACAGCGCCCTCTGCTGGACCTTGCTCAGCAATGCATGAGCTTGCTGCACCCACCCCAAAGGACTCCAATGTCTGGTGCCAACGCTTGCAAGAAGAATCAGTGTGTGGCGCTCGGTGGAAACAGGTGGCAGGTGAAAGACCCCCCAAGTGGCAGGAAGGCAGCATTAACCCTTGTGACAGATGAGGAAGAAGTGCTAACATTTCTTCAAGGCAGGATCGTCGCTGAAACTTTACCTGTGTATGTGGAGGGTTTAGCTGAATTTTTAAACTGGGGTGGATGGGAGGTGTGTCATTTAAGCGTTAACATCTCAGGAGAGTATTGAGCTGATTCTACATTAGATAGATTAACAGAGTTGAAAGGGACCTTGTGGGTCATCTAGCCCAACCCCCTGCCCAAGCAGGAGACCCTACACCATTTCTGACAGATGGCAGTCCAGTCTCTTCTTGGAAGCTTCCAGGGATGAAGCTCCCACCACTTCCGAAGGCAACTTCTGTTCCATGGAGTGACTGCTCTCCCTGTCAGAAAATTCCTCCTTATTTCTCGGTTGAATCTCTCCTTGATCAGTTTCCATCCATTATTCCTTGTCTGGCCTTCAGGTGCTTTGGAAAATAGCTTGACCCCTTCCTCCTCTCTGTGGCAGCCCCTCAAATATTGGAAGATGCTCTCATGTCTCCCCTGGTCCTTCTTTTCACTAGACTAGCCTGGCCCAGTTCCTGCAACCATTCACTGTATATTTTAGCCTCCAGCCCCCTAATCATCCTGGTTGCTCTTCTCTGCACTCTTTCTAGAGTCTCAACACCTTTTTTAGTGTGGTGACCAAAACTGGACGCAGTACTCTAGGTGTGGTCTTACTAAGGCTTTATAGAGTGGTATTAGTACCTCCCTTGATCTTGATGGAGCTCTGGAATGGAGCTGTAGCATTTTATAGGCATAAACTGGTGAGAAGCCTTCTTAATATTAATAATCTCTGATCTTATTCCAGGCTCTATCTCCACGATCTATTGTAGAGTTTTTCAAACCGACCAACTTAAAGTTGGTCGGACTTCAACTCCTGGGATTGAAGCCGGCTGGGGAATTCTGGGAGTTGAAGTCCACCCAGCTTAAGGATGCCAAAATTGTGAGACATCATCCTATTGTAATTGTGTGGTTGCTTGAGGTAGCCCAAATCTTGACATAGTGCAAAACATGAAGAGGAAGCTTAGGATCTCGTCCTGTGATTGGCGTAAGGTGGATTGGAATCAATTTCAGTTAATTGCTTTCTGAGCAGGCTGTCTTAGATCATCCAACATTTCAGGCAAACCAGAGTCTCAGCCACCTAAGACAAATTGTCCAAATTTTTAGCCCCAAAGAAAAACACTTTCTCATCAATACGAGCAACTGACACTACGTCCTGGGTAAATAATAAAAACGACCTTTGTGATTAATCCTATGGTTAGCACTGTTGCATACCAGGGCTCGTCTCTAATGCATGATGATGAAAGCGAAGGAATCAGATTCAATTTTGGTCTCTTAAGGAGATCCAATTCTGCAGACTTTCAATCGGCCTCCCTCTTCCAATTCGGTTGTAACTGAATAAACGCAGCCAATAAAAACAGAATCACAGAGATGGATGTGGAGTGAAAGAGCAGAAATTACTTTGTTAGTGTCAACAAGCTTTCAAAGAACCGCCTTTGATATCTTTCATTTGAAAGGCAAAGAGGAAACGCTTTCTAAAGCAATTCCTTTTATTTTGGGAAAACACTCGGAAAAGCATCACCTCTTTCCATTATCAATTCTCTCTTTGGGGAAATGGTGTCTGTTAAAAGTTCATTTCTTTTTATTCTTATTATTCTTATTATTTTTAGGGTTTTGTTGCACTATTTTGTGCTATTGTTTCCAAACTGTTTGCTTAAAGAAAAGAGAGAGCTGCACTAACTTGTAGAGCTGCATGGCTGGGTCCTTAATTCAAGTTGATGGGGAAAAAAATCTTCACTTCTGGCAAAACATCCAGATAGCTTTAAAATCGGCTGGAGAAAAAGAAAAAGAATTGGTTGGCTTGGTCTTCTTCTGAGATATTTTTTTTCCCCAACCTCCCAAGCCAGCCAACAGCCCTGGAATTCCTTGGTAGATGCTAATCATATATGAACCACATCACATTGTGCATAGTTTTCTGATATCTGCATGGTTCTGCATGCCGATTGATGGCACCGATACCTTATTGAAAAGGCAAACAAGATACAGATGGTCCTTGACTTATAACGGGCTGCTAAGTGACTGCTTGAAGATATGACGGAGCCCCCCAAAGCTACTCATGATCCAATTCTGAAGTTCTGATAACCAGGGTCCCCTCCTGGTCATGTAACTGCATGCTGGGCACTGGGTGTTTGGCTTTTTGGATTCATGGCTGTTTGGATTCTCCTGCAATCACTTTTATAACATTTTTTGGCATTTAAATGCTGTTTTTTAGCCAAAAGTGTCCCATTGTGAACAATTGGGTCGTTTTACGACTGCTGGAAAAAAAGAGGAGGAGGAGGAGGAGGAGGAGGAGGAGGAGGAGGAGGAGGAGGAGGAGGAGAGGAAGACTGTGGAGGAGGTCTTGGTGCTCTCTGAATTTAGTGGTTTTCTTGCCGATGTTTCATGACCCAATTACGTAACATCATCGCTACTATGATGATGAAAACCTCACCTCCTTTTAGCACTGCTGATGTTACCTAGTTTGGGTCATGGAATGTCTTCGAGAAAACCAGCAAGCTCAGAGAGAACCAAACATCAGAAACAGAGTACTCCTCCATTTGGGTTTACGGGCATAATACCTGAGTGGTACTGATTTTTTTTTTTGCTTGTTTATACAAGCTTGTTAAATATTCAAGGTCTCTTCTAGAGGGACCAACTTATTAGCATAACAGCTGGAAACTAATCAAGGAGAGAAGCAACCTAGAACTAAGGAAGAATTTCCTGACAAGGAGAATAATTAATCAGTGGAACAACTTGAAGTTGTATTATGCTCCAACACTGGAAGTTTTTAAGAAGAGATTGGACAACCATTTGTCTAAAATGGTATAGGATTTCCTGCCTAAGCAGGGAGTTGGACTAGAAGACCTCCAAGGCCCTCCCAACTCTGTCATTCTCTATTCTATATCCAGCTGTTTACCTTTTTCTAAAATTAAGATCAGATGAAAGAACACCGAGAGCTTCTATCACCATGATCTTGTAAAGAACCAGAGTAGTAGATGGGGTAGATCCTTTTTTTTTTTCTTTTGCACAGAAGTTATCCCACATTTCTAATTTTAGTAGAAGGGAGCAAAGTTAAGGCACAGTGACCTACAGTATTTGCAAAGCAGTAAACCTAGTAAATCTTCCAAGATATTTCGGGAGAATAATATAGAGCTTGGAGAAGAAGAAAGACTGTGATCTGAGTACAGAGGATATGCTTACCTTCCCGGTTATTTAATGATAGTGACAGCACATTTTTTTTTCTTTCCCTTTTTAACGAAGACTGGTTAGGAAAGAAAAGGAAAAAAAGGTGAAATTGTATGTGAAAGGATTCTGGGCTTAGTTGTAGAACTGCCACCATTCTTGGTCCAAACTGTGATCAGAAGTCTTTTGAAAAAATAAAAGTGCTTCCTTTCTCCCTCTTCATCCTACTATTTTGCTTCAGTAGGTCCTATTCAACCGATCAATACAATGAAATAATTACACTTACCTGTTCAGCTCTGAAAACCAGCCGAATTTGGTGATGAAGTGTTGCAATTTCTTCTAAAAATACACAACCACTTAATTAAGACCTATCAAGTAGATCCAACCCACCCCTATTTGTCCATAACGTTCACAAGGCGGGGGATCATTATGTCTACATCTCTAGGGCCTGGAGAAGCTACGGCTGAAGAGTTGAGAGAAATGGCACCTTCTCTCCAGATTCATTTCTTAGATCCTTCGGGTCAGCTTTTATTTAATCACCAGAAATGGAGTTTGTGTTTGACTGGTTGATCTCCCTCCCTTTATGTCTGAGATCCAAAATGCCAGTCTTGAAAACTGGAACTCTAGCTATCATGGGGCGGGAGGCCTTAGCCATGAAGACCAGCTGGATGACTTGTGGCCAATCACTAGGAGACAGTGAGTTCTAGTCCTGCCTTAGTCATGAAAGCTGGCAGGGTGACTTTGGGCCAATCACCAGGAGACAGTGAGTTCTAGTCCTGCCTTAGCCATGAAAGCCAGTTGGGTGACTTTGGGCCAATCACCAGGAGACAGGGAGTTCTAGTCCTGCCTTAGTCATGAAAGCCGGTTGGGTGACTTTGGGCCAATCACCAAGAGACAGGGAGTTCTAGTCCTGCCTTAGTCATGAAAGCCAGTTGGGTGACTTTGGGCCAATCACCAGGAGACGGGGAGCTCTAGTCCTGCCTTAACTGTGAAAAGCCAGCTGAGTGACTTTTGGCCAGTCATTCTTTCTCAGACTAACCCATCTTACAGGGTTGTTGTAGTTGGAAAAAAGAGGAGGAGGAAGGTATGCTGGCTATGTTCACCGCATTGTTTATAAAAATAATAAAGGCAGGATACAAATAAGTAAACTAAATACTATTGTTAATAATTGCTTACGTTCAGGTGTCACATTCCAGCTTCAGTTGATTTCTGAGTTATGACCCGTGGAACAGTCTTCACCAGAAAGGAAGACGGAGCAAGAAGGTCCTTACATGAGAGCAGAGGAAACCTCCTTTGAGGGACCCTTCCAGCTTTACTGGAGAGTAATTGCTTCCCAGGACCTGAGTATTTGAAGAAGGAAGAACCGTGAGGCTCACCACATGCGTGCTTTCCTCCCATTGTTGAAACTGGAGGAAAACATTCTGACAGAAAAGCCATTATTACCACAACCACTTGCCTTTTCCCACATCACAGCAACGTGGGTCCCTTTCAGAGCAGAGGTTGGTCCTTCTCTTCAGGCCCTGAGCTGGGAAAAGGTTTTAGAATGCCAGGTGTGCAGAGTTACTCCCTGAGGGGACAGTTCCAAGTAAGGTGGAACCACTTCGCTTCTTCTAGAAGTTGGGAATCACGGTCCTTTGAAACCTGTCCTATCCACAGAAATACCGTTGGTATTCTGCCTTAATTTAGGTGAACGAATTGCTGCTTAATTCAAAAGGATGGAATTTGTTTCTTGGAAGAAAGAAAGAAATAAAGAAAGAAAGAAAGAAATAAATAAATAAAGAAAGAAAGAAAGAAAGAAAGAAAGAAAGAAAGAAAGAAAGAAAAGAAAAAAGAAAGAGAGAAAGAGAAAGAAAAAGAAAGAGAATAAGAAAGAAAAAAGACAGAAAGAAAAAAGAGAAGGAAGAAAGACAGAGAAAGAGAGGGAGAGAGGGAAAAAAGAGAAAGAAAAAGAAGAAAGAAAAAAAGAAAGGAAGAGAGAGAAAGAAAGAAAAAAGAAAGGAGAGAATAAGAAAGAAAAAAGACAGAAAGAAAAAGGAGAAGAAAGAGAGAGAAAGAGAAGGAGACAGAGAAAAAAGAGAAAAAGAAGAAAGAAAAAAGAGAAGGAAGAGAGAGAAAGAGAGAGAGAGAGAAAAGAGAAGAGAAAGAAAAAAGAAAGAACGAGAGATGAAGAGAGAGAAAGAGAAGAAGAAGAAGAAGAAGAAGAAGAAGAAGAAGAAGAAGAAGAAGAAGAAGAAGAAGAGAGAAAGAAAGAAAGAAAGAAAGAAAGAAAGAAAGAAAGAAAGAAAGAAAGAAAACCCAGACGACATTAAAAAAGCATAGTTTTATTTTTAAAAAATTCTTTTAAATCATATTCCAAAGTGGTTAAAATGGTCCGGTTTTGATCATTTATGGGATTTTCAAAGAGGACGGGGAAGAAATCAAAGCAAACTCATCAGCTCCATGTCTTAAAGTGTTGATTGTCTTGAAAAAAAAAAAAAACCCCAAACCCGAAAGACATTCACATGTACATCCATTCTACCCTGATAAAGAGAAAAATACCCCCAGTTCACTGCCTTGTGTGCTGCCCAGAGTCACGTCGGGGCTGGTGTCCACGCGAACCTTGATGGGCCACTGAATTCGGGGTCAATGCTCCTTTCCTCGGGTGCTAGACGAACGAAGAGAAACCTGTCACTGGAGTCCTTGAGCCCGAAGTGGGCTGCCCTGTCGGGGTGTAGACCCCTCCTGAACTCTGCGTCGTGATGACAGTCTGGAAGTAAGGTTCGGTCTCGCTGGTCACCCGCTCCTCGTATCTGTAGGGTGTCGAATGCTTTGTGCCCTTCTGCTGGCGTTTCCACGAATTGTAGTAGCTCGGGTCGCTCATGTAGTGGTTGACGAACGAATGCTTTGGCAGCTCATCTTCATAGTCGGAATCCGTCCCCTGTGAGTGGAGAGAGAGAGAGAGAGAAAAGGACCTGTTAAATGTCTTGGTCGTGGTGTGCTCCGTGCGACCGTCGTTTTTGGGGAACGGTGGATCTCTAGGTTGGAGGACGGAGAGGCAGCTCTACTACAGGTTGTGGAGAAGAAGGCAAAAGATGGCAACTCCATGAAACGCCAAGGTGCGGGACACGAGAGAGCACGGCGCAGGAATTGGGAGGCACGTGAAGCAAAGAGGCGCCATGCCTTACCTTCAGGGTAGGAGGAAAGACAGGGGTTTGTCTCTTCCACCCTGTCTTGATCTTCTTCAGGTCTCTCGCAGGTGTGGATTAGGACACTTAGCATACTGAGCTGAATCTCGTGTGTGTTTTTGGGACGTGGATCTCAACATCCTTAGAAGGACCACAATCTCCCCTTGAGTTGATCCCTGCAACTGGACTCATCATCCTCTTTTAACAACCCCATAATCCCTTGCGGGGGTGGAGTCTGGGCAGCTGAATGGAGCTAGCAGAGCGTTTTAATGGCCGGATGCCCTTCCCGTGGCCAATGCGGAGTTTTGCTCACTGTATATATTCTAAGGGTGCCCAGAGAGAGAAATATCTGTCTCTACCCAGGATCAAACTCACAGCCTCCTGATTGTGAAGAGAGAGGTCCACCTCTAGGCCATCACCCCACTCCGTCCCTCCAACTGGACTGACCAGAGAAATATTGAAGGCGGGATGTTCTCTGGAACTTGGTTTCCAGCTAGGTTGCTTCGGGAGGAACTCATATGAACCAGTGGTGGGATTCAAAAGAATTACTACTGATTCTGTGGGCGTGGCTTGGTGGGCATGGCAGGGGAAAGTTACTGCAAAATCCCCATTCCTTCCCCAGCCCGCTAACCTGCTTTCCAGCTCCGTTCTCCTGCACGGGGCAACCAAAGGAGATCCAGCTGATCAGCTGGGACTGGATGGGAGGCAGAGAAGAGATGGTGGAGGGGTCAGTCAGAGGGGGTATTTGCCGGCTCTCCGAACTACTCAAAATTTCTGCTACCGGTTCTTTAGAACCGGTCCGAACCGGCTGACTATCACCTCTGATATGAATGTCCTCCGTGAGTCTCATTTCTCTTTTAAAAGGGATTCTGTCAAACGTATCACATCTAAACTGTTTTGGTTTGATTCCCTCAGGGGTTTGAGTCCAACGGTTAGATCCTAGAATGGTTTCTCCGCTCCCTCGGAACCGCATTCAAATCCAACCCATGGGGGCCCATTTCGGATATATTCCTCCCACCACCACCAGAGTGGCATTTGGACGGTCCGGGAGGCCCCCCCCCCTTTATTTATTATCTTTTTAAGTGTGACATTCTCTATTTTATCTGTTGTTAAAAACACATTTGAGAACTCTGAATCTGAACGATACAGTTTGAGATGCATAAAATCAATTTTTGCTATGCAGCTGCCGGTATAATGAGAATTCTACCTGGCGCTTTGAGCGGCGACAGGAGTCCACCAGATAAGAAAAAGGAGGCAAGCTGAAGGGGAGCGGAGGGTGCGTGTGTGTGTGTGTGTGTGTGTGTGTGTGTGTGTAGGAAACTGGCAAGCAAATTAGGAATTATAGCCACTTGAAAAGAGCTGCAGGGAATCGGAGGGGGAGTGTTATCCGTAATCTCCCCTCCCCGTGGCAAAAACGGCCCATTCAGCTGTTCCTCCCAAACCAAAGGATGTTAAAGCGATATCTGACTCTGTTTAGTTTACAGGCCCAGCAGGGAAATGGCAGAAGGGAAATGACAGGAACAATGAATTCCATCCTGATTAGAAATGTCTATTTTTGTATGCATCGCTATTCAAAGAGAGATCCAGCCACCCAAAGAGGCTAAAACTAAGCGATTTGCTTTTTGTTCTACTTGGTGACGTCTCCGTGCTATTATTAATAAGATATACACGGCCAAAGCTTTGGCTTGAAAGGCGGAGTGGAATCGATGCAGGGAGTCCTCAAGTTACAACCTTCCTATTTACAAGTCAGAACTTGAGGAAGCTTCTTGGATGAGAAGCGAAACGTCTTCAAGGGAAAAAAAAACAAAGAGAGTCCAGTCGCCTTTCGAAAAAGTGCCTTCGGGACAGCCACGACCTGGATGGCTGAGAATCTCCGTGACAGTTCGTTTGCAGCAAGTCCTTGACTTGCCACCACAATTGAGCCCAAAATGTATGTTGCCAAATAAGACATTTGTTAAGTGAGTTTTGCCCCATTGTATGACCTTCCTTGTTACATTTGTTAAGTGAATCACTGCAGTTGTTAAATGAGTCATGTTGTCAACTAAAAAAAAAAAAAATACTCCTTGGTCTTTTTAGCTGTCAGCAGGAAAGAAGTGGGGGAAAGCAGTGCATTCCTTAAATGCTTCAGATAAATGCTAGGCAGCCGAAGCTGTTGGCACGCAAAATTATTACTGGAGAGCATGATAGATTACTCTTGGCTTTAGATGTGTCCCATTGGAGAATATACATTGAGGGGGTGGGGAGAAGACCAGGGTCAAGGGTGAAATGAATGATGTGTCAAAAGTCAGCTGCAATCAGGAAACACCGACATGTCAACTCCTCATAAATAATCTTTTTTATTTTGAGAGATGCGGCTAGAGACTTGTGATTTGAATGGGAATACATGTTGGAACCCTGTAGTTGTTTAGTGAATCTGGCTTCTCCATTGACTTTCCTGGTCATAAGGTCGCTAAAGGGGGAATCACGTCACAAGTGTGGTTATAAGCCATGAATTACCTGTAATCCAGTAACCAAAGGAAACCAGTAGGGATTGCCAGCTCCCCAGGTGGGTTATCTCTCCATTCTGTAACAAGCTGTCCTTCAGAAATGGTCAATCCCATGTAAGTGTCTTGAGAACAGAAGCTTTTACAAGACTAGGATGTCCCTCTTGGATTCAAACAGAGTCCAGGAGTGAAAAGGGGCCTTTGGGGGGGTCACAGTATGGGGTCCCCTCCCAGTGGAAGATGGGAAAAGCTAAATGGATGAAGATATAGCAGGTAAGAATTACACCTGGCTTACAGACCTCCGGATGGGTCGGAATTGGCCCTGTAGGCATCAAACTTGGGGCTGATGGTCTACCACAGGGGTGTCCAATCTTGGCAACCTTAAGACCTGGGGACTTCAACTCCCAGAATTCTTCAGCCAGCTTGAAATGGTGAGGCAGGCAGTCTAGGGGATTCTGGGAGTTGAAGACCCCAGGTCTTAAGCTTGCCAAGGTTGGACGCCCCTAGTCTACCATCTCCCTAGTGCTTCTGAACAAGGCTGATTAGCAATATCAGTTCCAAGCATTGGGCATGCTCAGGGACCCCGAGCATCTCCAAATTTTTCTCTGAGGCCCCTTTCATTATTTCCCAAATGGTCTCCGTCCCGGCTTATGGCTCAAAAGGAGCACATTCCTTTTAATGTCTTCAAACTATTGACTAAGTGGCAATGCAGCAGGGCCGTTTCATCTCGGCGGTTGCAGCAAGGTCTTAATCGCTGCATCCTCCCGACGGTTGCCAGGGCAACAGCATCGGCCCGGAATTTGATTGGGCACTCAGGTAGATTGGAAATTGACCAGCCAAGGTGCACGGATGCCTGGGCAACCACAAAAACAGAGAAAATGCCCCACTATATATATATAGATATATATATATATATGCGAGCGGACAAATTGGAGCGCCCCAGGCTGGTTTCGCTTAAAGCTGGCATTGTGGGGAATTTCAAAAGCGTGGCAGCTGTCAAATTTCTGTTGGAAACAGGCTGAGCAAAAGAATTGGGTACCCTTTTTCTTTCTGATAGCTTGAAAAGGCATCAGAAGAGGAGGCAAAAAGAGAGGAAAAAAACTCTGGATGGTTTCCATTTCCTCTCTTCAGCCTTTCCTTTCCTAGGACGGATAAATTCTACAATTGCAGGAAGTCCAACCTTCATCAAAATACAAGAACCTGGTAGTTTTGGCTCCTTAATCAAGCCCCCAATGTATTTACTTTGGGGGTCCATGCTCTTAGGTGGTCTGGAGCAGAAGAGGCTTAATGAAATGCAGTCTGCGGCCAGACACGCCTGATCTTCAATAATAATATTAATATGATTTTTTTCCACCTCTCTCTCTCCTCTCTCTCTTTCTGTCTCTCCATCTTTCTCCTTTCTCTTTCTCCCCCTCTCTCCTCTTTCTGTCTCTCTCCTCTCTGTCTGTCTGTCTCTCTCTGTGTCTCTCTTTCTCCTCTCTCTCTCTGTGTCTCTCTCCCTCTTTCTCCTTTCTCTCTCTTCCCCTTTTTCTCCCCGCTCTCTCTCCCTTTCTCCACTCTCTCTGTCTCTCTCTTTCTGTCTCTCTCTGTGTCTCTCATCTTTCCACTTGATGGAAAAGAGCATTATTGATGTGATTAGCTTGGCCTCGTTAAAATTCAGCTTGCAGGGGTTCCAAAATGTTTGCCCGCCGTCACTGCCAACTTTTGACAGGAGGGCAAAACTTGCAAGAGACCTTCGGAAGGTGCGGGAGAAAGCTACACGCCCACCTCTCACAGGCACCCGGCTTCAACAGAACTATTTTTGGGTGGGAGGGGGGAAATTGAAGGATGAAAGAAGCAGGCAGGCAGGGGAATTGTTGTCCAGTGTCAATCCTTTGAATGCTCTTGGTCAGCGCTCCCTCTGCGTATTTCCCTTCAAACTGGACTGATTTCGGTTTCCAAGCACGGAGAAGAGAAATCCGATTCGGGATTTTCCAATTTGCATTTTTCCTAGAGCAACTATTTCCCCCACCTTACAGGTAAATACAGGAAATCCTCAACGTACGACTATGAATTGAGCCCAAAATTCGTGTTGCTAAGTGAGACATTGGTTAAGTGAGCTTGGCTCTCAAATTTATGACCTTTCCTGCCACAGTTGTTAAGTGAAGCCCTGCAGTGGCTAAATGAGTAGCGTAGTTGTTAAGTGAATCTGGCTTCCCCGTTGACTTTGCTGGTTGCAAAAAGGGGATCACAAGAGTTACTACACAGGTCATAAATTTAAGCGAGTTGCCAAGTGTCTGAATTTTCATCACGTGACCACAGGGCTGCTGCAATGATCATACGTGTGGAAAATGGTCACAAGCCAGCTTTTTCAGCAATGTTGTACCTTTGGACAGTCACTAAATGGTCTGTTATAAGTTCGAGGACTACCTGTACAGGCAGGCATGTCCAGACACCTGCAGTCAGACAAATCAGCATTCTGCTCTCAAAACCTCTGAGTCTCCACCAAATTATTTATATGTGTCTACATGCATCATAACTCCAGACAGTTTCTGGAGTCTTATTGCTTTTTAAAAACATTTTGGAGTCAGGGTCAGCACGTCATGGATGTGTAGAAAAGTATCTATCTTGTGGAGAGGTCTTTTTTTTTTTTTTAAAGGATTAAAATCTGAAGGGAAAGCAGACTAAGAAGACTTTGGCCTTGAATATTCTGGAGCTCAATCATATCTTCTATGGTGAAAGTTCCATCAAAGAAGAATTATTCTCTTGACAAGCTGAGATAAGTTTGGCTTCTCCAGGAGGAGCACCCGCCAAGTTCTGCAGAGATGTGAGTTTTCTCCTTCCACAATAACAATAAAAAGATTGGAATCCTTGGATAAGCCAAAGTTAGTTTCCCCTCCTGATACCCAAGGAGAGCAGAAAAAAAACAATTCACATCCATCCTAAATAAGTTGAAAAAAATCCAACGTTGTTTTAAATAAAGGAAAAAAGGAAGGTTGACTTGGCTCTTTCTCCAGAGTGAACCGAAGAAGTTCTAACCATTCTTTTCTACTACCTTAGTAGTGACTATTCATACTTCCTCCGGAACTGAGTCACGGGAAACCAGCCAACACGGAAGGTCTAATGGGGACAGGCTGGATAATGGGGGCAGATGTCACCAGTGATGAGATTCAGCCGGTTTGCACTGGTTCGGGGGAACTGGTTGTTAATTTTCTGAACAGTTTGGTGAACTGGTTGTTGGAAGAAATCATTAGGGCGGAGAACCGGTTGTTAAAATTATTTGAATCCCACCACTGGTTGTCACAAAACCAGGGCTGTGTTTGTGCCAAAAATTCCTCTCGGGGACCGTTATGGGTTATGGCCTTCTTGACACCACGGGCAAGGAAAGGCTTTAATGAGAGAACAGACATCGTTGGGTGACCCCTCTTCCGCTCTTGGCTCAGACCACAGAAGTCATCTTGGCCAGAGGTTGGGTCTTAACGCTCTCTTGGGCAAGTGGAACTCCTGACATGAATATCAAAAGTGACCCAGCCACATTGCACGGCCTGTAATGGCAGGTTTTAATTCCAGGGTGTCACACAGAGAAGAACAGAGCCACTGTGAGTGTAATCGCAAGATAATGTTGTCACTCCCCAGTGGCTTGGTCAGGGGGCAGGCAAAAGCAGCAAGCTGCCAAAGATAATTAACAGGAGGTGAAAGGCAGGTGACCAGGAGGACGCCTCAGCAGAAACACCGCCGAGAAGACAATTAATCTTCTCTCTCGGGGCCTCCATGCCTGATCCTGGTTCTTCCTGGATTCTCCTTGTCAAAGAACTAAGCTTGTAATATTTTTGCTGTCATTGCTGCTTTCCCTGATCTCTCACGTTAGATTAGAGCTTAACAGGTTTTCAGTAGGGGTGTTGGAGTTCACGATAGACATTTTTCTTGGTGGACACCAGATTTCCCAACATCAGCTGCCTTCTGGCCCTTGGGCGTGGGCCTTTTCCTGATTACAAACACCAGGAGAAAAAGGTTGTGGAAGGAGAAAAAAAAGAAAGGAAAACAAATGCTGCATTGTGCTTCAGGGAAAGCCACAAAGTGTTGGTAGGAGGCTGAGAAGGTTACTCTTCTCTGGTTCCTTCACTTTTCCTCCCCTTGTGGATAATGTTTTGATCAGATGTTAGGAAACATCCAGGAAGGAGTATGTGATAGAGTGAAGCTGACAGAAAAGCTAATTTAAATAGAAGATGGTTGGTGGTAAAGAAGACTTCTCAGAGCTTTTCAGAGCTTGCATTACCATTGGCCGCAAACTTCTAGGGGCCTTTTTAAAATGTCTTTAAATTAATACAGCCTCCTTGCTTTGGTCTATCATAAATATCGATAACTGCTATGTTTCACACTCAAAAGTAAGAGTATGGAGGCTTAAAATGAATGAGTTTTCTGTTTGCCTTCCTCAAAAACAGGGTCTATAATTTTCCATCAGAAAATTCTTCCTTCCTTCCTTCCTTCCTTCCTTCCTTCCTTCCTTCCTTCCTTCCTTCCTTCCTTCCTTCCCTTTCATTCCTTTCTACCTTCCTCTCTCTACTGCTCCTTCCTTCCTTCCTCCCCTCCTCCTCCCCTTCCCCTTCCTTCCTCCCTCCCCTCCCCCTTCCCTCCCCTTCCTTCCTTCCTCCCCCTAATCCTTCCCTTTCCTTTCCTCCCTCCGTCCTTCTTCCTTACTTCTTACCTTCTTCCTCCCTCACCCTTCCTTTCTTCCTCCCCCTCCTTCCTTCCTTCTTTCCTTCTTCTTTCCTTCCTTCCCCTTCTCCTTCCCTTCCCCTTCTTTCCTCCCTCCCTCTCTCCCCCTCTCCCTTGACACAGAAAGGACTTTCCTTGTCAACCTTACCCTGGGAGGAGGGATTGTGGGGAGCCTGGTGATGTCCTAACCTGTCAAAGTCTTTTCCTCCAAGAGCTTCAGCCCAGGAGGAACTTCTCGGCAAGAACACGAAGCAGGGGTCCCTAATCAACATGCCCCTGGCATTCACCTTGATTGATTGCATTTCCCTTTCACAATCTGGCATTTCAGATCCGGAGATAGAAATGCAGGCATTGTGTTGAGAAGGGAGGGTGTGTATGTGGGGGGTGGGGGGGTCGCCCTGCCTTGTCAACTTGAGGCTTTCAAGATAATATTGTGTTACATGGAAAAAAAATGGATTAAAATGGGAGTCGAAAAGAGACAGCAGCGAATCTTCCAAACTTAACAACCGAAAGATTCCCACCCTCGATGCTCCGTTATGGCTCCATCTGGCAGAAAGTGAAAGGAATGACCGCAGCTTGCTTGGAAGGAAGTGATGGCTACAACCAGATGTGAACTGTTCATGTCTGAGTTTCCTCAGAAACATCAGGCTACAAGAACATTTGGGTGACCAGAAACTCAACTGTAGTCCCAGTGGTGGGATTCAAATTGATTTACCACCGGTTCAGTGAGCGTGGCTAGGTGGGAGTGCTTTGCCTAACGCCCATGGCGTAGCTTTCTACATACCAGCTGAGACCTGAAGCGCCAATCAGGTGAGAGGATAAAGAAAAGGGCAGGAGTGGGTGGGAGGGTCAATCCTGCACTTTTCTCTTCATTCTCCTCTCAGCTGATCGTAGGAGCCTTTTTTTTAAAAAAACTACCAGTTTGGGCGAACCGGTCCAAACCGATACCACCACTGTCTAGTCCTTGTTTTGCAGACCAGGTCTGGCGGCCCTATCTAGAAGAAATGACTGTTTGATAGCCTCTGTTGGTCTTCACCTTCCAGGAAGATTCTATGCAAGGGGATCATAAGCTCTGTTTTTACCAGGACACGAGTGTTTGCGTTACGTGTCCCTGGATGCTTGCTAGTTCTAAAGTCTACATTTGCTGTGGCGAGTCTGATTTTGACTCACTAGCCCCACTCCTGCCAACGAAATAATCTGTTGTCAGAAACATTGTAGACGGTTGGCTGGCCTGGCAAGAGTTGGTTATGTGCTAGAACAGTGGTCGCCAACTGGTGGGCTGGGGACCACTGGTGGTCTGCGAGAAAATGTTGGTGGTCCTCAGAGAAATATCCCCTCCCAAAGCACCCCACAAAGCAATTAATCCAGGCTGCATGGAAACACAAGGCTGCGCCGCCCACATGGCCCTCCCACCTGCTGGCCTCCACCCTTCGGCCGAGCATAAACCTTACCTTGAGTAGACCCACGCGAGCTGGAACTGGAAGGTAAGACCAATGGTGGGAGAGGGAAATCCACTCCGGGGTGGCTTGCTGACGTTGGTGGGAAAGTCAGTCCCATATTCCAGAGCTGCAGGAGTCACAGGACTGGCTATTTGGTCATCCTGGAGCAGCTGCTCCTCCACCTGGGTGCACCGGACTGCCATGGATTGGAGGAGCTGCTCTGGGGTGACCGAAAGGCCAGTCCTGTGACTCCTGAAGTTCTGGAATATGGGACCGACTTTCCCACCAATGTCAGCAAGCCACCGTCAATAAAAATTCATATTAGTGGTCCGCGGGATTTAAAATTATGAATTTGGTGGTCCCTGAGGTCCAAAAGGTTGGTGACCACTGTGCTAGAGGGCACTAAGAGAATAAAGGGTGAAAAATTTCCAGAGTTATGGGATCTCCCTGAAACCACAATTGGTTAGATACAAAGCCATGGCCCAGTTGAGTAGAATAGTACCATCTTTCTGTCAATGATGCCCTCCTAAGTCTTACTTGATCTTCGGAATTTTTTTTTGTTTATTTTTAGTTTGGGTTCCTTTCCTTCTCAAGAGACCATAAGAAGCTGGTAGGGCCTTGCGGCCTTCTGTAAAGGTCTACCAGGCTGAAGATGGATTGTCCCTTTCTCTTCATCCTACTTCACCACTTCCTGATGTAACATGCCTATTTTAGTGGTAATCCCGAGCAAGCCTCCGCCATCTCATTTTAATCGGGTTCCTCCAACCAGCGGTGAACACACATGAACTCACTTCCGACTCTGAAGCATCCAAGGGTTTCTCGGTGAGGCCGATGCTTTCTGCCAAGACGGCTCCGTTGTACTTATTGCAAATGTCCTCATCCGAGTAATGCAAGCCTCCAGGGCTCGGGCGAGGGGGCGATCTGGAACCGGGAGAGGAAATCAAATTAAGATTGGGCTGGCTTTCGATTCTGCCTGATAGATAGAACACATTCGCCAACTCTCTCAACCGAGTATTGGTTACAGTAAAAGCTGCGCGGCCGAATTGTTTTCTTTCTGGAAAATAAGGTCCTTGTAAGCATTGATGATGATCTCTCTCTCTCTCTCTCTCTCTCTCTCTCTCTCTCTCTCTCACACACACACACACACACACACACACCCATAAAGGAGAATATTTGTAGCTCAGGGTTGAAATGAGGTCTCTCTGGAGTTGGTTGGTTTCTTCCAGAAGTTTCATCACACAAACTAGGTAACATAATTAGTGCTCCTTCTCCTCCTCTTTCACTCTGCTCACCCCACTCCCTTCTAGCACTGATGATGTTACCTAGTTGGGTAATGAAACATCTGCAGGAAAGCAGCCAAGCTCAGAGTGCACTAAAGACCCCACATATATCTATCCACACTTCAAAATATTTCTGCAGAGAATCTGCCCAATCTGAAGCTAGATGAGAAAACCTCATGAACGTCACTGTGATTTTCCCTCCCACCAACTCCCTAATTTCACTTATATTTATGCTGCTGTGTGTTATCAATGTCATATAATCACGCTTTCCAATCTCCTGCAAATCTATGTGGCCCATGTGTCATAACAGAAATCTGTGTCCTTCTATGCCTTTGTAAGGCTTATTTAGATGATTCGCCAACTTTTATGGAGTTGACCAGATTTTGTGTGTCTTGATGAGGAAGTTAAAAACAGCTTAAACTCAACACTTTGTTGTCATGTTTGACAGCATGTATCAGACGTATCAGACCAGAGCAGGGTGAGGAACTACGGCTCCTTTAATGATTTGTGGAGTTCAATTCCCAGAATTCCTGAGCCAGCCAGAATTCTGGGAGTTGAAGTCCCCAAGTCATAAAAAGGCCATAGTTCCCCACCCTTGCAGAAGAGAATAGTGGTCTACGACAGTTCTGCAGACAACTCCAGAGTCAGCAGTTGGATTGACTTGACCAAAGACACTCAGATGAGTCTCAAACTTTTTGCCACAGGCAAGAAGGAAGCCATAAATGCAAGCTGTGACTGGCCACCGCAGCGCGAAGGAGACAGTGCCTTCACGTGTAGCTGTGGTCCTGAGCTTAGTTTTGTTTTGTTTTTAATCCACCAACCCTTGGAAGAGAATATGCATGACTAAGTTTTGTAAACCAAGGAGAATGGAATATAATGGACAAATATGAGATGATACGAATGCATGACTATAAAATATGGTTGTGAATATGTATAGAATTGTAGATAAATGTAGATAAATGTAAATAAAAATAATATGCAGCTAGCACTATACTAATATCATAAGGGAAGAAGGAAATTAACTGTTATGTGTATCTTTATACTATAGCTTGTATGGCCAAAATGATGGTCAAGAAAGCCACAAGGTGTTCAGTTGTTTTTAATGTTTATTCAATAAAATTTATTAATTAAAAAAAGAAAATGCAGTACTAAGCCTATCTTACTGGGTGTCTGCCTGGATTCCAGGTGCTGTGGTGCAGAGGTGGTAGCAATAGCAGTTAGACTTATATACCACTTTATAGTGCTTTACAGCCCTCTCTAAGCCATTTACAGAGTCAGCCTCTTGCCCCCAACAATTTGGGTCCTTGTTTTACCCACCATGGAAGGAGGGAAGGCTGAGTCAACCTTCAGCCTGGGGAGATTTGACCTGCCCAATTGTAGGCAGCTGGCTGCAACGGAAGTAGCTTGCAGTATTGCACTCTAACCACTGCACCACCGAAGCTTATTCAGCCGGTTCAGACCAGTTCTAGAGAACCGGTAGCAGAAATGTTGAGTAGTTTGGAGAACCGGCAAATCCCACCTCTGACTGGCCCTGCCCCCATCTATTCTCTGCCTCCCATTGAGTCCCAGCTGATTGGCTGGGTCTCCTTTGGTTGTCCTGCAGAGGAGAACGGAGCTGGAAAGTAGGTTAGTGGAGTGGGGAGGGAATGGGGATTTTGCGGTAACTTTCCCCTGCTCCACCCACCAAGCCACGCTCACCAAGCCATGCCCACAGAACCGATAGTAAAAAAATGTTTTTGAATCCCACCACTGTGTCTGGTGCCACCTCACCTGGTTCCGTTCTTCTTCAAGAAAGTATTTTTGACATTGAGATGCCGGCTGTTGAGTTCCAGAGACGTAAACCCCCCATTATCCAGAGTGACAGAGTCTTCCACGCCGGACACATTTTTCCCTGGGGACAAATTGCGACAGAATGAGCGAAGGCGTAGCCCTTTCTCTGGCTCTGGGTGAAAACAGAGGGGAAAAAAAAAAGAAACCCATCATTTTTGAGATAACTGTCAGGCACAAAGGATCAGGGACACACATTGTATTCCAATGAAGCTGATCTATACTTGCACGCAAGTATCCAATCAACTAATGACCAGCACTAAATTGGCATCAGATAAGGGTTGGCGGAATTCGAGAGGGGCTGGATTTGCAGCATTTGTGGCAACGTAAGGATGCTAAGCTGGTGACACACTTAACTCCACCCCCTGCTCTTCTCCTGCAATAATCATTTTTAAAAACAAAACAAAACAAAACATCAGCAGTAGAGGAGACGTTAGGACAACCTGTTCTGCAAATTCGTTATTGGAAGTGTTAAACAGAAGTATTAGACAAGACTTAGAAATAAAAGGAATGGAAATAAAAAGAAAAATACGAAGTATAAGCATTTGCAGATGACCTGGTATTTATCTTAGAAGAGCCATTAGAAACTGGCCTCAAGCTAATAGGAAAAATAGAAGAATGCAGAGAAGTTGCAGGACTGAAAATAAAGTTAAAAATAAAGTTAAAAATAACATTAGTTAAAAATCTTACAGGCAAGTTTTAACTTTTATTGAGGGAATTTCTTTTCTTTTATATAGCATGTGTTTTTCATTTGCCTGGGCCTTTGGGGACGGGTGAGAGAGAGAGAGAGAAAAAAACCAACCCTTTCCAATGAATATATGGATTTTTTTTCCCATCTAGCCAAGGAATCTAAAGCACAGATTAAAGCACTGATGTTTTCAGACTTAGCAGCTCCTTTCACCTTGGGTGTCCTAACAACACAGAATAGACTTTCAAATCCTGGCCCCATTCAAGACAGCTTAAAAGAAAAGCTCCATCGATTTCGGGGAGATTTGCCCCCAAGGAAGTAACTTGAGGATGATGGCTTTGCAACCCGAATCTGCTGGCGTTCACTGAGGAATTACTTCTGCTGAATTCACCGGGAATCAAATATGGTGAATGTGAAGCAAACTGGAGCGAGAAAGGCTTGGGACACCATTTAGAGATGGTGAAGCAAGTCATGACCTCCTTTCAGAGTGGATGAACACAATTATATATTTGAAACATCCTTTTGTCGTGTTTTTTTTTTTTAAAAAAGAAACCAGCAACAGCAGCACTGTTCTATAAACTGAAAACTAGAGTAGAAGCTTCTCTCGAATGGCCCTCTTAACTTTCAGGGGTGTTTTTGGTTTCTAAAGGAGAAAATGGTTTGAAAAGCCTCAAGTGGTATGATCTATTTTCCCATTCAGGGGAAAATGAGGAACTTCAAGACTATCTGGTGGAACCTCGAAGCATTCTAGATATCCTCCTGGAATCTCCATGGCACAATGGCTTTTAGGTTCCTGCACAGGTTCTCCAGAACCTATAAGATTTGGCCTAAATTCTGGAATATAAACCCTGGTTAGATCTAAGCTTCGATATTGTTAAAGAATACTCTCGTCCTTGGTCTGCCATCTTTTCCTGCTTCTTCAGGAAAGTTGTTCCTGCACATCTTCTCCTGCCGCACCACACAAAGTCTCTTGCAAAAGGTGAAGGACAGACGGCCCTTTGGTGTTTGTCCTCCACAGAGAGAGCTGCTTGCGCATGGCGCATAGGAATTGAAAATAGCATTTAGCTCGATAAAGTGCCATGCCATTCAAACATTTCCAATCCCAGAAGAATAATGATTTACTAATACTTGTTATAAGTGAATTTATTCCTGGGGGAGGCAGGTTTTTTTGGGGGGGGGAGGGGAGTGAATGAGAGAATATAAATCTTTGACTGCAAATTGTGGAGTTCTGAAGAAAGTTTTTCCGTATGGGTTTTTATCACCGGGTTAAAGAAATGCCGGGCACAACATCTCATACCACCTGTGCCAAACACCATAGTGGTCAACATCACCATTTTGCTTGCTTCTTGCTTGTTCTAAGTTTTGGCGTGTGTGTTTGTGTGTGTGTGTGTGTGTGTGAGTACAAAACACCCCCCCTCCCATTTTGCAGTCTCAAAGAGTTAACGTGCCTGTCTCACACATACACACAAATCCTGGTTATTGGAGAGACATGTGCTATTGGCAGCTTTTGAAAGGACTTTGTGTCTCAGGCGGAAAGGGCACAAAATTGATTTGCAAAGCTCCGAAAACACAGTTCGGGGGCTGGGCTATAAATATTTAAGCTCCCCCTGAAAGAGGCCAAGGTTGGATGACAGGTGGAAGTGAAAACCTGCAGGTATTATTAAAGGCACTCGGCAACAGAGAACACCACCCAAGGAATCTAAACAAGCACTTCAGCCTTCAGTGACGATAACCGAGGCACTTGGGATTAAGTCCGCAAGGCAAGGATGCTTATTTTTCAACGCGGTGGAAGTTCATTGGATAAAATGGAGGGTATTGTGTAGGGTTGGAGGCAGGGATCGGTCAGGCCAGGTGGCCCAACAGGACTTGGTTAGGAGATATTTATTTCCCAGTTTGTCACAGGCTGAGGACCCAAGGCTCCATGGGGGATGAAGAGGACAGCCCACCTGTGTTGTTGTCTCGGTACTTCTTAGTCTGGTTGTGCAAGATCAATGCAAAGATGACCATCAGGATGAGAATGAGGCTGCAGAGGGCCACCACAAGCAAGAACCACCACTCTTCATAGAAAGGAGATCCTGTCTGAGCTGTAGGGAAGAAGGACACAACTGGTTGAGGGATCAGCTCTGGAACACTCATCGTTGCCCCAGCTCACATCATTGAGGGATCTCTTTCATTCCTGTCTGCTCTTCTCCTCAGAATACAAAGTTGGAAAGGAATTTAAAGGTCTTCTAGTCCAACCCTCTGCTCGAGCAGGGAGCCCTATACCAGTGGTGGCTAAACTTTTGGTGCTCGTGTGCCAGCATCCAGAAGGCAATGCGCCTCCTTACATGCACTGAGCCTTCTGGTTGATTTTTGTCCCATTTGAGGCCTTTTTCGGCCTGCCAGAGGCTTGAGGGAAACCCCTGCAGGCTTTGCAGGCCAAAAAAATTGGCCCTTTTTGTCACTTCCAGTATTTCCGGAAATACAAGAAGTGACAAAACGGGTCTATTTTTCGGCCTGCAAACCTGCAGAGATTTTCTTCAAGCCTCTGGCAGGCTGAAAAACACCTGAAAATCAGCTGGAAGGCACTCACATGTGCAGTGAGGTAAGTTTTCCTAGGGCTCGCGTGCCCACACAAATGGCTCCATGTGCCACCTGTGGCATGTGTGCCATAGGTTTGCCATCACGGCCCTATCCCATTTCAGACAAATGGTTGTCCCATCTTTTCTTAAAAACCTCCAGTATTGGAGCACCCACAACTTCTGGAGTCAAACCGAGTGTCCCAATGTCAGTCTTGCACCAATAAAGACTTCTTCACATGTCCAAAGGAATGCTAAACAGAGTTTAACCAACCTGAGATGGCTACAGAAGCAGCACTGGGTTCTCCGTATCCAAGCTCATTCACCGCCACCACTCGGAACTGATAGCTTACTCCTTCTTTCAACTGGTCCAGGCTGACCGTGTAGGATGTGGCACTCCGCGGGATGTTCTTCACAAACAGGTCCCACACCCCTTCATCTGCAAAAGCAGCAAAGAATGAAGAGGTTTGGTGGTCATTGCTGATCACTTCACACAGGCTTATCCCCACATCATTAAGAGCACCAAACTTAATACTAGGTCTCCAAACTTGGCAATTTTAAGACTTGTGGATTTCACTTCCCACAGACGGCTGAGGAATTCTGGGAGTCGAGGTCCACAAGGCTTCAAGTTGTCAAGTTCGGAGTATCCTGCACTAGACCAACAACCAAGAAGCAGACAATACTCCAATTAAGGAACTGCCAACGCAGACGAACAGGCAAACACTAAACTACAACCTAATCAAGAAACCACCAAGAACGCTTCCACTGACTCTGACCTGGCACGCTCCCAGTATATAAAAATAAAAGCAAGCCTCACTTCCTTCTAGCATGGATGGCGTTACCTAGTCAGGTGATGAAATGTCTGCAAGGGAACCATCAAGCTTGGAGAGTACCAGGGACCCCACAGGTACATAAATAAGCAACCAAGGGTAAGTATAAGGGTAACCAAATAAGTAACCAACCATGAAGTGCTTTCTAAAATCCCCGAAATAACCGTTCGTTGGACTTGAAACAAATCATCTGGAACTTTTTTCTCTCGTAGTCCTTTACCTGTTCTTGATGCAGAGACTTTGCAGTGGCAGAAAAAAAACCCTCTGATTCATGTGTCTCTAGAGTTGGCTGCCCATAAATTTCAGCCCAGAAAGGTATTAGGTTGTGAGCACCGGTGACAGTGATTAATACATTCTCCGTTGCCTATTGTTTGATGATGGTATTTGGCAAGCCCCCAACGATGAGGCGGTGGGCCGGAGACTGAAAACCCAGCTACCTTCCAGCAGTGCAACCTCACGAGGGGGGTGGATAATTTTCCCCCTCTGAAAATCCACCGTGGATTTGCCGGCGACCGATCATAAATTCAGCCCAATGCCACCCCCTCCGCGTTGGGATAGACTCCCTCCGTGTGGAAGGCAGAGGATCAAACGAAAGACGGAGCTTTTAATAAATAATTTTACAAGGTAATAAAAGGAAGCCGAGACTTTTATTTACTTCGAGAGGCCGAGGACAGAGAGGTAGCGACAGAGCCAATAGTTCAGAACATTTGCAAAGAAATAAACAGGTGGCTTGTTTTATTCGGCGCAAGATCCTTGAAGAAGACAGGGTGGTCGGAGGAAACATGAAGGAGAATTTGAAATTAGGGTTGTAGGAGTGGGGGTGGCATCTTCCTTCCCTCCCCCCCTTCCTTCCCTTGAGAAAGACAACGTTCCAGTGGTGGAAACCATTAGAAAAGACTCCAGAAATCATTGCTGTGGCTACGTCTGTGGTTCAAGAACCACCACTTGTCAGTAGTGAGGAGGGAAAAATAAGAGAATTTCAATTGTCTGGGGAAAAAAAATCTTATCAGTTCTGCTAGCAGCTGGTCTGCTTTTTGACCTAAACCTCTTCTTCTCTTCAGATTCCTTTCGAGGCAAGTGGATACCGCTATTTAATAGGGACTCTTAGAGCTGGCTGGAGAATTGTAGGAGTTGAAGGCCACACGTCTTGAAGTTGCCATGGTTGAAAAACACTGTCTCGGTTTGACGTCAACAGAGATATACAATCATCCCGGTCATGGTTGTGTCCCAAAGGTGCTTTTTTTCCCCCCAAAGGCAATTTTTGGTGGGTTTTTTTTTTTTCCTTCAAAAATGTTTTGGCTTCTCCTCCAAGAAGCTGAAGAATTGAAGAAGCTTCTTGGAGGAGGAGAAGTGAAACGTTTTCAAGGAAAAAAACCAAGGAAGTCCGGTTGCCTTTTGGAAAAGCACTTTTGGGGTGGTCTTGGTTTCTTGCTAAGGCATCCCCTCTTATCATACGGGTCCTGTCTTCCTAGGTAAGAGGCCCATCCTGAGTTTTCCAAATGAGATTCAGGCACGGTCCATCTTCTCTTTCTTCTGACCATCCATGGAGGAAAAAAACATCCTGCTACTTTAGGTCCATCCTACAAAGTGATCTCGTGCCAGAATTTGGTGTCAAACGTCACATGAAGCACACATGCAACTATGGCTCAATTCGTTCCTTCATTCTACCCTCCCTCCCTCCCTCTCTTCCTCTATTCTTTTCCTTGCCTCCTTCCTTCCTTGCCTCCTTCCTTCC